GTGTGTGGGTGTGTGTGTGTGTGAGTGTTTGGGGTTTTGTGTCTGTGTGTGTGTGTGTGTCTGTCTTTATCTGTCTCTGTATTTGTCTGGATGGTTAAGAAATGGTAGACTCAGAGTTTTAGTTTATGTCAAGAAATAACTATTAATTCATCTTTTATTCAGTGTTATATACACATTTCACAAATACTTTTCTGATCAAGGGATCAATGCTAGTTATAATGTTATCACATTAAATTAATTGTTATATAGTGTGAGTAAGAATTCCTTAATAACTTCAATATACAACACATTATGAATGTGAACTGCAATGCCTTCAGTTTTAATGTTGGTGTAATTCTTTATCCTGTAAAGGTTTCACAATGGTTAGATTGGAATAAGTGGACTGAGGAAAGGTTGAATAGTCTAGGTCTGGATCCTCTAGAGTTTACAAGAGTCAGAGGTGACCTAATTAAATCCTATTAGAATCTAAGGGGACTTGACCAGACGGATTTTGAAAGAATGTTTCCTTTTGTGGGAGAATTGAGACCTGGGGGGTGGGGGGGATGGGGCGGGGAGGGGGTCACTGTTTAAAAATAAGGGGGCGCCTATTTAAGACAGAGATGAAGAAACACTTTTTACCCTCTCAGAGGGTTGTGAATCTTTGGAATTCCCTTCTTCAAAAGGCAAAAGATGCAGAATCTTTAAATATTTTTAAGACAGAGGTAGATAGATTCCTGATGACCAAGGGGATGAAAGATTATCGGGGATATGTGGGAATGCGGAGTTAAGGTTAAAATCAGCTCAACCATGATCGTACTGAGTAGTGGAACAGGCTCAAAGGGCTGAGTGACCTACTCCTGTTCAGATATAATGCAACATTTCTTTTCCTTTTTCATAAGCGAGCTACCGTCCCAAGTCACAATTTAATACCTGATTGATTGCCACATTGAAGAAAGATATCTTCATGTGGGAAGGTTTCACAACTTCCTATTCAGAGTGAAATTGTGTGGAAAGATTTTTCAATTTGCCTTCAATACCAAACCACAGAACTCTTCCAGGTCCACGTTAGTTTCAGCAAACAGATAAAATGCTTTGAGGAATAAGGCAAGAGCTTACGTTTCCATAGCGCCTTTCACACCTCTAAATCTCTCCAAATGCTTCACAGTGAATGAAGTACTTTTGGAAGTATAACCATTGTTGTGATGTCAGACACACTGAAATGGCCATTGCTGTAGAAATTAATGTGTATACTGACCATTTTTTCAACATACAATGTGTGCCCGTTAACCAACTTAGCAATGAGCACATTTACCAGCCTATACAAGCTTCTCCAGGTTGGTTTAATCAGATTTTAACTGATGAGAAATACTGGGTGAAGCTACAGGGCATTGGTCAGACCATATCTCAAGTATTATATTCGGTGTTAGAGACAGTTGAGTCCTGATGAAGGGTTTCGACCCGAAATGTTGACTTTCCTGTTCCTTGGTCTGTCTGACCTGATGTGATTTTCTAGCTCCACATTTCTTGACTAGTGGATGGTGTTGGTCACCTTATTTAAGGAAGGATGTAGATATATTGGAGATAGTTCAGTGAAGGTTTGTTAGACTAGTCCCTGGAATGAGGAGTTTACTGATAGGGAAAGGTTAGATAGATGGGGCTAGTATTGGCAGGAGTTTAGAAGTGTAAGAGACAATTCGGTTGAAACACAGAAAATCTTGACAGGACTTGACAGCGTGAATGTGGAGTAGATCATGGGAGAAGATAGACAGAGATGAGAAGAAATTTTTTTCTCTGAGTCTTTGGAGCTCTCTTCCTGAAAGGTGGTGGAAGCACAGCCCTTGACTACTTTTAAGGCAGATGTAGATAGATTTTTGGTAAGCAAGAGTGTGGAAGTTTATCTGGAGTAGGTGGCAGTGTGGAGTGGATAAATCAGCCATGATCCTATTGAATAGTGGAGCAGGTTTGAAGGGGCCGAATGGCCTACTTCTAGTTTGAATGTTCATACATTCCACGATGTTCCTTAAAATAGAGGTCCTGGGATCTTTAACTGTCTAAATAATATGGAGTAGGTCTTTTAGGACTCAGATGAGGAGAAATTTCTTCACCCAGAGAGAGGGGAGCCGATGGAATTGTCTGCCACATAAAGTGGTTGAGGCCAAAACATTGAATATTTTCAAAACAGAGTTACACATGGTTTTTAATGCTAAAGGGATCAAAGAGTATGGGGTGAAAGCGGGAACAGGGGACTGAGTTGGATGATCAGCCATGATCATATTGAATGA